GGGGCGCTCTGACCGCCGCGGGGACCCGAAGCAGTTTGGCTCTGGGCCCCTCGGGCCACGCTCGAGCCCCGGGCCGCCGGGCGCCTGTGCCCAAGGGGCTCAGGCCCCCCAGCCCGCGGAGGCCTGTCCTCGCGGCCCACTTGACAGACGAGGGGGATGTGCTGGACCCGGCCGGGCCAGCGCCTGGAGGGGTGCCCGGGGCTGGCCGACGCAGCCCAGGTCTCCGGACAGACCCCGCCCCTCCCGCCGCGCCTGCCCCCAGCTGCTGCTTTCTCCTTCCTCAGCAGCCTTCCCACCCCTACCTGCTCTACTCACTCCCTGAGCCGGCGGGGGAGGGGCTCCGGCGAGGTGGGGGTCTGGCCACAGTCACCTGCCTGTCAGGCCACTGTGTCCAGGCCCCCCATGGGTCTGGGGCTGCTTGGAGTGGAGGAGGGAAAGCCAGGGTTCCGAGGAGTCCAAGTGATCACAGATGAGCCAGGACCCTAGAGGGGCAAGAGGCCTGCCATGAGTGGGGAGCACACGGCCCTCATGTCCAGGATGCCATCAGGGCCGGTGGCCAGAGGTGCCAGGACACAGTGATCAGAAAGGGAGTGGGCTCTGTCACTGAGGAGCACAAGTCCCACCAGCTGTCCTTTGGGCAGGGACGCTAAGGGAGAGTCAGAGTGGCCTGGTGCCAGGCCCATCGTGTCTGAGACAGTCAGAGAGGGACAAGCAAGGTCATGGGACTGTGGCCAGGGGGTGCAGGGAGAGGAGCCATAAAGTCAGAGGGGCAAGGACCAAGGCTGGGGCCCAGCCAGGAGACGCAGAAAAGGCCAGAAGATGACAGGGTGAGCAAGACGGCCCAACTGGGCAGGACAGGGCTGGGGCTGCAGAGAGCAGACCCAGCAGGAGAGGCATGCTCACTGCCAAGGTTGCCCTTCACCCTCCTCCGGTCTCAATCAAGTGGCTAATTAGCATCCTGACCACTCAATTAATTAGGCTGCACATGCCTAATTGTGACAGACTGTGTCTGTGGGGGTGGGACAGTGCTATCAGGTCCCAGGTCTCCCAGCAGGCAAGGTTTATTGACCAGAAAAGACATGAAGAAACCCTGGCCATGCAGTGGGGGATAAATGGAGAGATATGAGAGGCAGGCAGGAGACCTTCAGTTCTGTGTGGGGCATTCTGGCATCCTCCACCAGTCCCCCCAGGTCCCTGGAGGCGAGTCCTCCTCAGTCCACCTCTGGCTTCCAAGTTTTGACCTATACCCACCTTCCTGCAAACTGCAGTTATCTGAAGTCATCCCAGGCATGGTGGGTGCATGGTCTGGACCCCCAGAATGGAGGCCACACCCCTGCCCAGCCCTCTTCTTTTGAGGCCTGTGTGCCTTCTCCCTGAAGCCTGTCTCAGGCCACTCAGGATGCCTAGAGTGCCCTCCTCCTGCACACTCCCCCGACCTGTCTGGTCATGCAGTTCAACTCATTAAATATTCTTCCTGACCACCAACCACAGTGGCCATGTGCAAGACCCTCTCAGAAAACCCCATCCCCAGTGACACCTCTCTGTTTACTGCTTCATGGGCAAAAATAACCAATTTGCTATTTAGTGTTTCTCAGAAATTAAAGAAGTTGTATTTTATGATGTTGGTGATGGTGCTGATGGTGGTGATGGTGATGGTGATGGTGGTGATAGCCATGGTGATGATGGGGTGATGACGATGGTGGCGATGGTGGTGATGGTGGTGATGGCAGAGGCGACAGTGGTGATAGACGCAAGGGTCTATGCCTGTGGATGCTCCTCACAGGTTTAAGTGGTGTGTGTCCTGAATATAGCCTCTTGTCTGGGGATAGCAGGGCAGGGTGTCGGCCCCAGGGAACTGGGAGGGTGTTTGGTGGGCTGGGGATCCTCAACAAAGATTCAATGGACTATGGGTTCCTATGTCTCCAGAGAACTGGGCCTGACATCACCTTCTGCGTGAGAAATCACAAGGCAGAGCTCTGCCTGACCTCTGACACATCCCAGGCACACAGTACAGCCCAATTACTGCTGGAGACCTCAGTGCCCTCTGCCCAGCTGGGTCTGGGCGTGGTATGTGACAAGGACCAGGAGAGACAAGAAGGGGAGAAGGAAAAGTGGAAATACTGGGCAGGGTGAGGGAGGAGGCAGGAGCCCTGTGGGGGTCTCCGACACAGGTCGGAGGGGCTGGTGGCAGCTCCTAACAAGGGAAGCTGGGGCAGCAGTGCCCAGGTGTCTGCCTTGCAGGACCCTGTAGTGACTGAGGCTGCCCATTGTGTGACTGGGCCTGAATGCAGCAGATCAGGGTTTGGAAGTCCCTGCTGGTGAAGCTCATGTCTTAGCAGAGATGGAGGCCAATGAGGGACAACCTGTGAAGCCAGGGGTCCCCCATGACAAGGCCCTTTGAGGAATCACAGAGGCCAAACCAAACCCAGATGGGAGCCACCCTGGAAGGGAAGGAGGGATAGGGTGCCCTGTCCTGGGGTGTGCAGCCCCATCTGGGCTCTGATAGGGGTGCTATGAAGCGCTGTCTTGGGAAGAGGTCCTATAAGCTTTGGGAAGCTGAGAGCCCAGAATCTTGTCCTTGGAGGCCTGTGTTCTCTAGATGGCAAGCCAAGGAGGACCCCTGCACCAGGGTCATGGGCTAGAGGCCGGTCCCAGGCAGAGGGCAGAGCTACTTGGGCTGAGAGGGCCACACTAGGCCCTGTGCTGCCTACCCCTCCATGGTGGGCACTGGAGTCAGACACAATTACTCACTCAGTGCATCATAATTACTGCAAATAGCCCATTAAAGAGAAATTATCATCAATATGATATTAGCAGACAGCGGGGAAATGAAGAAAGAAAAGTGCTTACTCTCCCATTGTCCCCTTAATGGGGACAAGACATGGGGAGGCAGCAGCACCCCTGTTTACTGACCTGACATCCTCCCTTCTGCCTGCAGCCACGAGGGAGGTCCAGTGGCCACAGCCCCCTTAGACCCCGGAGCCCAGGCTTTCCTTAGATGTGGGGTATGGGCGTCGCTCCTCCCTAGAAGCAACCGAAATGACAGAGAGGAGCAGAGAGGTGGGAAAGGGACAATTGTGCTCCCGTCCCGGCGAGAGGAGGAGGCCCCTAGAGGCTCAGCAGCGGCCTATTGGATAGTCGGTTGTCTTGGTCAGAGCCACTGGTCCCGCCCAGTCACAAGGAAGCAGAGATCTGCTGTCGGGGAGACTAGACCTGGGCCTGGCTCAGAAGAGGGCTGGAGGTTCTGCCAGAGCCTCGTGCCCAAGTAAGCCTGTGTTAATGAGTAGAAGACAGCACAAGGGCCACCTGGACCCAGGTGGTATTTACTGGGTGAAGGAACCCCCTGTGGGCATGGAGCAAAAAACAGGCCAATGTGGGGGTTGTCCGGCCCTGCCAAGTGCCCCCACCTGTGTGCGAAGCCCTGGACCTGGCCAACTCTGGTAGCAGGGGCGGAAGCGGGCTTGGATGGAGCGAGGCAGCAGTGGGTGCACCTCTGAGGGACAGTGACTCCGGGAGCCCTCAAGGGGGCAGGCGAGGGCAGGGGCGGAGAGGGAGGGTCTCGGGACAGCTTGAGCGGCGGGGCCTGTTCCGAGGGACATGGGAGCCACAGACTGGCTGTGGGGCAGTGGGGACAGCCATGTGGAAAGATGACCCTGTCAGGGAAGAGATGGGGCTGTTACAGGGTCAGCCCACCACTGCACCTTTCTTCCCTTGCTTCCCCTTCAACTACTTACTCAGCACCTCCTCTGCCAGGCTCTGCTTTGGGCTCCAGGGAATGGGCACTGAAGGCAGGCAGACCCTGCCCCCTGGAGGTGACATTCTGTGGTAAATACACAGGAGAAGCAAGCATGGGAGAGGAGAGAGAGCAATAGGGGTCCCATAGGGTGATACAGGTTTCTTGAAAATTGAGGTGCAAGATTTGAGGAGGGCTCAGAAGAGAGGAAGGAAGGGGAGATATGTGAGAAGGTTCCTGTATGTGAACCTTACTTTTGGAGTTTGGCCACAGCTTTCTACAGCACCCACCTACCTTCCATCACCTGTCCATCCATCCGCCCAGCCACCTCCCTATCCACACACCTATCCCCCATCCATTCACACATCCGTCTGTTCACGCACCCACACATTTGTCCACCAACCCATTAGTCAACCCGTCATCAACAGCTTCTATACCCTGCTATTCAGCCACCATCCTCCCATCTCCCCACCCATCTTTCCTATTTCCCCATCTAGCTTTCTGTCTGTCTCTCCATCCATCCACCTCTTCTGTGCACCCCAGGGAGCCAGTCCTGACTCCAGGTTCCAGCTGCCACCCCAATGGTGGTCTGGGCTGTGATGGTAGGAGTTTTAGGGTCTGGAGTGGCCCCAAGGCATAAATTGTGGGCCAGTTGCCCAGGGCTATAAGTTATGCTTTCCTGAATCATAATCTCAACATAGTCCATGTGCCCTGTTCACACCCAGGAGTCTCTGGATTCAGCTTAATTCAGATGCCCAAACTTAGCAGGAAGTGTCTGTCCCCTGAGCATAGCCCCTGATGCATAGGTCTGGGTAGGGGCAGTGCAGGGACAGACCCAGACTGGAGGTGGAGGCGATCTGAGGAGCAGAGGGCTGGGAGCTCTGCAACCCCTCCAAGCATCCTCCTTCCCTGCCCCCTCCCGCCAGGACTAGAGCCTGAGGTGAAGCACCTGCGGGCCATGGCTTCCACGTGGCCAAGATGTCTCTGGCTGTGGATTGGGGACAACCCCTCCCCTGCAAGCCCCAGTGCTCCTGAAGAGGCATGTCCTGCCCCTGTACAGGAAGCCTTCCCAGACTGACAAAGGACTTGCCTTTTCTCATTTGTCTCTCACAAGGATGGATGTGGGGGTGGATGGGGGGAGCTTAGTGATCTTTTTACAAGTGAGGTGACTGAGCCCAGAGCAGTTAACTCCCCCCACCTCCAGATGGTGAGGGGAAGAGCTGGGAGGGGCAAAGCTGGGAGGGGCATTGGACCCGATTCCAGCCCAGTGAGCCCTGTCCGTCCACCACCTTGGTGTGGGTCGGGTGGTGACTGAGCTGGAGGAGCCTGGGGAGCTGGGGAAGTGTCCCCCAAACCCTACCAGGCCCCTGGGCCTGGCCTCTGCTTACCCCACACCACCATGACCACCTCCAAAGCCTGGGCAGCCCCCAATCCACTGCAGAGAAGGGGAGTTTGCCTGAGTCCTATCCTGACTCACCACCCCTGCGTTTCCTGAGCTCTCAGGGTGTCATGGTGCTGGGAGGGTGTCCCTAAGCACCCAGAGAAGTGCTGGAGGGGCTGCCCTTCAGGAGTTTCCAGACCAGCCTCCTGCCTTGCTCTCCTCCAGCCCGGGGGGCTAACAGGGTGGAGGAGATGGGCACTGGTCACCAAGGGGGTGGCAGCTCTGGGACCAAATTTAACCTCAGGACACCCCAAGGGGACAGGTTCTGTGTCACCCCAGGCTATAGATGAGGAGACTGGGGTTAGACTAGGGGCAGCCTTTAGCCCAGGTGTCAGTGCAGGTAGCCTGGGCAGGAAATGAGGCTAATATGGTGGCCCTGCCCTGGGTGCCACAGCCCCAGAAGCCCAAAGGCTGAGGTGATGGCAGGTCAGGGGATGCCCTGAGTGCCTGCCCTCAGTAGGAACAAGTGGGTGAGGGTCCAGGCCATGTGCACCCAACCTGCCCTGCCAGGCCATCCCCCACTGTTTATCCCTAAGGAAGCAGGTTCTGTTATAGCTCCCCTGGGAAGGCTTTGCGCCTGGGCTAGTCTGAGCTACAGGGCAGGTGACAGTGGAAAAAATCCTGGCCCCGGCCTAGCCAGCCTTCTCCCTAAACCAAGGCAGTGGCCTCCAGCTCCAGCTCTGAGCTTCTGCACTGAAGCAAAAGCTCATGCACTGTTCCCACCCCCACTGGGCCCCTGTGACCTGCCCTGTTCCTCCCTGCCCTCCCCTGCCCCCATCTTCCCAGCACCTCCCACCACATGATCCCCCCTCCCCCTGCACCCAGCTCAGGCCAGGCCATGCGGGCGGCACCTGGGCACTTGCTGCTGCCTCCGCCTGGGAGGGCTCCCACGTGCTGCGTGCATCCTCTTGGTAACAGCGCTCACACCCACCACCCAGGAGTAACAGGTTCAGCGTCCTGCGGCAACACAGCCAGAGCGTCCCGCACACCAAGACACATCTCTTGTGCATCCTCTTGACACCCTCTGCCACGCACACTGCAGTCCCGTGCCCTGCCCTGCAAGGCGCAGCCTCCGTCCTCACCCGCAGGAAGGAGGAATCTCAGGCCTGTGGTTCCTGGTCACTGCTCCCCACAGTAGCCCAGCCCACATTAGATACCTCCTTCTGTACCCACCAGCAGGAGCCCCCAACCCACCCACC